CATGTTGCGAGTTGCGCGAGTGGCTATAGAGGCCAATCAAGCTGCTGAATCTTGGTCACGTGGTGGTAGATGTTGCGGTCCACCACTTGCTTTGGGCAGCCCTCACAGGGCAGCACTAACAGAAGGAAAGAAAAGCTAAGTGCAACTGTAGTCACACTCGTCGACATGTGCGCCAGTCCTCCTTATACTTGTAGCAGCACCACCTCTTGTGCGCGCCGGACCACATTTCGTGGTCGTAGTCGCCGCCGTTGAAGCACTCGTAGTGAGCGTTGGGCTTCTGAACAGCGGCGTAGATCAGAAGGCCGATTAGAGACATTTGGGAATAGTTAGACAAAGTGAAGCTCATCTCGCGACATGACAGTTGACATGGAAACGAAGCTTCAGACTTTGCCGCCTGAAGTAGCGTTATGTAGGCGATCCTCGAGCAATGATCAAGTGCCACACGGGGAAACCTTCGGACGACTACTACGACGAAAACGACCGCGACCGGCATGTCAGGAGACCATCAGGAGACTTGCAAGACGTCGAGGGCCTCGACCACGTGAGGCCACGACACCAGAAGACCACTCGGAAACCGCCCCACATCTAAAACACTCTTTGCCCCATCTACGGGTGCGGTGCATCTCTTGACTTTCTGTTGCGTAATTTACAGCGTAGCCGTACGGCCGCGTCGTTTGGAAATGCGAGATACGTTGTAAATTCCAAGCCTCGAACTTTTTGAATCCCGATGAATCCCGTCAGTACTTCGATTCGGCTACGCAGGAAGCATGGTGGGCGTGTCTCTGAATTCACCCCGCGAGCCGCGTCCGCAGAAACCTCCCAGCACGCGTGAATTGCGGCCACACTAACCAGAATGCCAGCACAGATCACCGAACAGCACCACCACGACGACAAGGACCACCACCTCCACGAGGACATCGCCACTAGACCACGACCCCCAGGAAACTTTCGGGAGGCCACCAAGACACGACCCGGACACCACGGCCAATATGCAAGAGTCATGGGCGCGACTGCGTGCTGTGCCGAGCAGCCTCCCGGCTCGCGTGCGGCGTGGCCATATTAACTAACACTTCAGGCTGCACGAGGCCATGGTGTGTACCACACTTTTTGGAAGAAAGCTGCGCAAGGCTGAGGCCGTTGCAACCACGTGCACGGTGTGGATGATGGGCGCAGGCCGTGGCATCTGGACCTTCACCTGGAAGCCGGGATGGAAGGGCACTGTGCCAGCCGTCAGGCAAGGGCTTCCTCGAGAGCACTGCAGCCAAGGGACATAGTGATTCTCCGGAACCCTCCTCAAGCCCAGCGTTGTATGCTAATGAAAGATCACAACCTTGCGCATGACCCAAGCCCTCTTCCATCCTCGCACCATTTCTGTACGTATGATACCACGGGCCAATTCCGAGCGTCTTCAACTTCTGACGTTTTGCATTGCAGCCATCATGGCCAG